GTGAAAGGTGAACTGAGACCCCTTTCAACCAACCAGGACCTGAGTCCTGGGTTCAATATTTCCCTTGCTAGAGAGTCAGATTATGAATTTAGTTGCACCAGAGTGAATCAGGAGTCATTCCACTGTGGCCCATTGATGCAGACTCTCAATTTACTCCGGTGGAACAGAGATCAGAATCTGGCTCTCCAGATCACAGCTGAGGCACTCTGGAAGAGAAACACACCCTGTAACAACAGCCCACATTGCACATTGCCAGGTAGTTTTGTGGTTAAGGCACTGGGCTGGGACATGCCTCTGCCACTGACTTCCTGTATGACTTGAGCAACTCACAGTGCCACTCTGTGCCTCAGTTTCCCCATCTGTACAATGAAGACAATGGTTCTCCACTTCCAAGGGATCTGAGAGTTGATCCATTAATATTTGTGAGGTGCTCAAGCACTAGAGAGAGGAGTAAAGTTAAGTTGATAAATAAAGTCCAGCCTACAAGGCTGTTGATCTTTCACCAACACTAAATTCTTTTAGAATAAAGATGGAAACAGCCTCCAGGAGTAACAGTCGTTCTCTCTGCACAGGGGAGCTGCATTTTATCACCCTCTCTGCCTGAGATACTGAGGTCAGCAGGGATAATGCACTAGTCCCATCTTACAGGTCAAAGACCTGCTTTACGCAGCATCCGTGGGCACGACCAGTACTGTACACAGGGACACCAAAGTGCTGCTCTACTTAAGGGCCGGGCGGCATTTCTGGGACTACTTTCCCCGGGCGCGAGGGACTCTAACCTGGGTAGATCCCACCATTTCCCCGATTCAGCCGCTCCCCTGCCCCCAAGCCCTGGGCTGCGGCAGCCAGCATCATTCCACCATGGGATACTGGGGCCTGGTGTGGCAAACCCTCCCCTCTCCAGCCTCCAGGTGACCTGAATGGCAGTTCCATGCATGCAGGTGGTTATCATTCACCTATAGAGCTTGACCCATGTGCATGCGAGGGGCTGCCTGGGGGGTGCCTACACGGGCGTGTAATTCACGCTAGTATGGCTCCATCGATGGTCGCAGTTCTAGTGCAGACAGGGACTGGGCCGGCTCAGCAGGATTGTAGAGACAGGTCTACACCCTTGCTGGAGCTGCACCGGTGGGGATTTCTGGGTCGGCGTTTGCCTAATGTAGCATTTTAGTTAGACCTCTTAGGTCCTTTGGTCTGGCTTGTTGTAATAGTTTAAGATTCATCAATTTTCCATACCCTTTTGTGACTCCTGACTTAAAAATCAAGAAAAACCCTTCCCCTGAGGATTTCACACCACTCTAAAGAAGCCTGCAAGGTAAGGAAGGATCGGTCCTTCTATTGTGCAGATGGGGAAACTGAGGCATGGAGCAAGGAAGTGACTTGCCCCAGGCTACGCACCACGTCAGTGTCAGAGCTGGGGCTAGAACTCCATCTTGACTCCTACTCCTGATCTCTAACCCTTAGAGAACATCTCCAGCTCACCCGATAAATATATAAAACCCAAATATTTGGGTTTATAAAGTGGCTCCTGGGAAACAAAGGGGCGTATTTTCCCCACTGACCCTTACCTTTCCCATGGACATTTTTAGATAGGTCTTGATTAATTTTAGCTTGCTGAAACTCCCTTCGTTAGCAGCCACGGTTACAGGAAGACAGCAACACACGCGGTGCTATTCCTGTGTTAGGGAAACTCACATCTAAAGACCTTTTGCGAAAGTAGCTAAGGAGATCAATGGGCATTTTCATTTCCAAGTCATCCATAAAGATTCACTGGCAACACCCGGTGAAGTGCTCAATCTCGTTCTCAAAACTCAGTTTAAATCTCAGGGTAGCTGCTTGCTAAGTTTCAAGCGTGCCTTTCTAGGGCTTCACTGATGAGACTTCCCAGTTTCTTGCTCATACTTCTCCACCTCCACTGTACTTAGGCCTCCTCTCATCCAGTTGTGTTAATACTGTGTGTAAGACAGGGTTTATTCCCCCCCCACCCACCCCACTGTTGCTCACACGTTCTTGTCAACTGCTAGAAATGGCCCACCTTGATTATCACTACAAAAGGTTTTTTTCTCTCCTGCTGGTAATAGCTCACCTTACCTGATCACTCTCCTTACAGTGTGTATGGTAACACCCATTGTTTCATGTTCTCTGTGTATATAAAATCTCCTCACTGTATTTTCCACTGCATGCATCCCATGAAGTGAGCTGTAGCTCACGAAAGCTTATGCTCAAATAAATTTGTTAGTCTCTAAGGTGCCACAAGTACTCCTTTTCTTTTTAAGACAGGGTAGGAAACCTTGCATCCAAAAACTGTTTCGGGCTCTGATGAGCTTTCGTCCTTTGCAAGTTTGCCTGGAATTACTTTCCTCACCTCTCTCTTTGAGCTGCATGGATATTCCTAACGTTTCGGTCTGCGAAGCAGCAGCTCCCATCCTTACACCTAACAAACCCAGAAAACCTTAATTCCAATAAAGCGTCTCGAAGGCCAACAAGTAAACCACAAGTCATTCGCACACCAACGTCTGGTCTCTACCATTTTTGCTCACAACATTAATTTTTGGTAAGATAGCAAATCACATCTCAGCTGCGACAAGAAACCAAAACCCTGCAATGGTGGTTTGTAAGCAATCAGCTTCCGACTTAAGTTCTGCCATAAGATTGCGACCAGTTTTGTTCTCATCTAAAGTGGCAAGAACACCCTCGACCTGATCTTGTAGCAGACAGACTGCCTCGATCCTTGCTGACCATCTGGTTGTGCTTTGGCACTTTAATATAATGCTCATATGTTTTTTCAACACTTCCCTGCAATGAACAAAAGCGGCAAACAGGGTCTACAATCTTTGAACGATTCCACAAAAATAAGACAACTTGGGGAACACCTGCTGACCAAGATTCAGTGAGCAGGCAGCATGTGGGATGAAAGATGTAGACTGATTTCCCAGCTGAATTAGATTTTGAACACCTTTGTATGCTGAAGCCAGGTGAGCTCTGTTGCCGTAGTTTTGTCCCCAGCAATCAGTCATATCTAAACCATCTTTTTTCAGCTTCTCTAAAATAACCTCAGTAATCATAGAACCATAGAACATCAGGGTTGGAAGGGACCTCAGGAGGTCATCTAGTCCAACCCCCTGCTCAAAGCAGGACCAATCCCCAACTAAATTATCCCAGCCAAGGCTTTGTCAAGCCTGACCTTAAAAATCTCTAAGGAAGGAGATTCCACCACCTCCATAGGTAACACATTCCAGTGCTTCACCACCCTCCTAGTGAAAAAGTTTTTCCCAATATCCAACCTAAACCTCCCCCACTACAACTTGAGACTATTGCTCCTTGTTCTGTCATCACCTACCACTGAGAACAGTCTAGATCCATCCTCTTTGGAACCCCCTTTCAGGTAGTTGAAAGCAGCTATCAAATCCCCCCTCATTCTTCTCTTCTGCAGACTAAATAATCCCAGTTCCCTCAGCCCTTCCTCATAAGTCATGTGCTCCAGCCCCCTAATCATTTTTGTTGCCCTCCACTGGACTCTTTCCAATTTTTCCACATCCTTCTTGTAGTGTGGGGCCCAAAACTGGACACAGTACTCCAGATGAGGCCTCACCAATGCTGAATAGAGGGGAATGATCACGTCCCTCAATCTTCTGGCAATGCTCCTACTTATGCAGCCCAAAATGCCGTTAGCCTTCTTGGCAACAAGGGCATGCTGTTGACTCATATCCAGCTTCTCGTCCACTGTAACCCCTAGGTCCTTTTCTGCAGAACTGCTGCCTAGCCACTCAGTCCCTAGTCTGTAGCACTGCATGGGATTCTTCCTTCCTAAGTGCAGGACTCTGCACTTGTCCTTATTGAACCTCATCAGATTTCTTTTGACCCAATCTTCTAATTTGTCTAGGTCCCTCTGTATCCTATCCCTACCCTCCAGCGTATCTACCTCTCCTCCCAGTTTAGTGTCATCTGCAAACTTGCAGAGGGTGCAATCTACTCCATCTTCCAGATCATTAATGAAGATATGGAACAAAACTGGCCCCAGGACCGACTCTTCGGGCACTCCGCTTGATACCAGCTGCCAACTAGACATGGAGCCACTGATCACTACACACTGAGCCCAATGATCTAGCTAGCTTTCTATCCACCTTATAGTCCATTCATTCAGCCCATACTTCTTTAATATGCTGCCCTGCTTTGGCGTGGAGAGCAATGAAATCTGCGAAGCATTAAAGAGGGCTCTGAATGGTCCATTTGGGGCACTTGTTGGAAGGAAAGAGCAAAAACCAAAACAAAACATGGGGTCCTGTACATGCCTGGTTCTACTGGAACCATTTGAACCCCCGTTCACATGGGCCTGCTCAGGCCCCAAGTTCAGAGCTGGACAAGAATTTAGCCAAAGTCTTGGCTGCGGGTGGTGTAGGGGAATCAAATGGGGCCACACTGTGCATAGGTGTGTTTGGGTAGAACCTGCTAGTACAGACTGCAGAGAGGGCAGCGTGTCATTCCCAGAACTCACCGTTAGTTCTAAGAGCCTCATATACAAACACAACTGCTTTATCAGAGCACAAGAGACTGGAGAGTCCCTCAGTTCTGGGCTCACAACCCATATCCACAGTTTAGCCCATCTCTGCAAAGCACCTTCTCAGTCACAAAAAGAAAAGGAGTACTTGTGGCACCTTAGAGACTAATCAATTTATTTGAGCATAAGCTTTCGTGAGCTACAGCTCACTTCATCGGATGCATACTGTGGAAAGTGTAGAAGATCTTTTTATAGACACAAAGCATGAAAAAATACCTCCCCCCACCCCACTCTCCTCTTCCCAGCCCTGCCAGCAACCTCAGTCCAGGAACACAAATCGGTACCCGAAACAGACGGCATGTCTGAATCTCCTGCATTCTCATCAGCTACTCTCCGAAACTGTGTGAGATACTGCTGTGATGGGAGCCATAGGAAAACCTAAGGCAGGCAGATGTACAGGGGCTTAGCGTTAGGCAGGAGAAGAGTGGGAAGATTTTCTTACCTGCTTGTTAAGTTTCTGCTTCTGGGGGCTCCCAGGTTCCTCAGTCACACTGTGGAGGGGAAACAGCGCAATGAGATGAAGGCCTGTGTCTCCAAAAGCCACAGTGACTTTGCATGGCTCCATTTTCGAGGGCCCACCTGGAGTGGCCTTAAAGGCCGTACTTAATTTGTGCCAGTTCATAAGTTGGCAGTTCATAGCCCCAGTTCATAGCCCCAGCAGTTCATAAGTTGCCAGTTCATAAGTTGGCAGTTCATAGCCCCAGCACCTCTGGGCTTGGCAGTTCATAGCCCCGGCACCTCTGGGCTTGTGGCATCAGTTATAGATGTAAAAAAATTGCTTGAGCCCTGGCACCGCTTTCATTACAAATTAAGCACTGCTTAAAGGGGCTTGATTGTCAGTGGATGGATGCTCCGTGCTGTCTGATACAGCATGCCTCAAGCTGGGCTCCCAACAGTGGAAGCAGCCAAAGTCACCAGTCCTGTTAGAAAATCGTGGTGAGGGAAACAAACTTTGACCCTTAGGTTTACATCAATCCCAGCTGAGAGAGAAGGAATCCACTGCCGGCTCCCACTCCCCCGTACACTCCCTGCCCACCTCTTTCTTCTCTGGGGGCTAGAGGGAATACACCTTGTCATAAATATAAAGGGAAGGGTAAACCCCTTTGAAATCCCTCCTGGCCAGGGGAAAGCTCCTCTCACCTGTAAAGGGTTAAGAAGCTAAAGGTAACCTCGCTGGCACCTGACCAAAATGACCAATGAGGAGACAAGATACTTTCAGAAGCTGGGAGGAGGGAGAGAAACAAAGGGTCTGTGTGTCTGTCTATATACTGGTTTCTGCCGGGGATAGACCAGGAATGGAGTCTTAGAACTTTTAGTAAGTAATCTAGCTAGGTATGTGTTAGATTATGATTTCTTTAAATGGCTGAGAAAAGAATTGTGCTGAATAGAATAACTATTTCTGTCTGTGTATCTTTTTTGTAACTTAAGGTTTTGCCTAGAGGGGTTCTCTGTGTTTTTGAATCTAATTACCCTGTAAGATATCTACCATCCTGATTTTACAGGGGGGATTTCTTCATTTCTATTTACTTCTATTTTTATTAAAAGTCTTCTTGTAAGAAAACTGAATGCTTTTTCATTGTTCTCAGATCCAAGGGTTTGGGTCTGTGGTCACCTATGCAAATTGGTGAGGCTTTTTATCCAACATTTCCCAGGAAAGGGGGGGTGCAAGTGTTGGGAGGATTGTTCATTGTTCTTAAGATCCAAGGGTCTGGGTCTGTAGTCACCGAGGCAAATTGGTGAGGCTTTTTACCAAACCTTGTCCAGGAAGTGGGGTGCAAGGTTTTGGGAAGTATTTTGGGGGGAAGGACGCGTCCAAACAGCTCTTCCCCAGTAACCAGTATTAGTTTGGTGGTGGTAGCGGCCAATCCAAGGACAACGGGTGGAATATTTTGTACCTTGGGGAAGTTTTGACCTAAGCTGGTAAAGATAAGCTTAGGAGGTTTTTCATGCAGGTCCCCACATCTGTACCCTAGAGTTCAGAGTGGGGGAGGAACCTTGACACACCTCTGTACCCAGAGAGCATTCTGCAGACTGGCGTATTACAGGTCACTAACACAGGATCTCTGAGCAAGAGGTGGACAAGCCACAGAGGCACCCTGTGTGCCCTAAGTTGCCACATGCTGTTTCCTATCTCCTTTATTTCCCACGGGTCTCAGTTCCCATTCCCATCCTTGCCTGTTCTTCCGGCTGCTCCCAGAACCTATGGCTGTTTGTCACGGTAACAGAGAATTTGGGAACATTTACAATAGAAGAACCAGCAAATGGACCCCTAGCAAACCCAGCTGCGCAACAAGGCAGTTCAAGGACATGCAGAACAGCTGCACCAGCTGTTAAGGCTGGGGGGCGGGGGGAGGAGAGGGAGAGAGATTCTGCTTCTAGTTTATCCCAGAAAGTCTAATGCTGCTCAGAGCTGGAGATGTGGAGTGGGGTGGGTGATGGCAGACGCCACCGTCCTCTGGAGAGGTGACCCTCTCATTCCAGCAGATGGCACTGCAGCCTGTCAATGTAGCTAGTAATGTTTATTGTTAAATACACACACACACACGCATGCACACACACAACAGTGGCTGTTGGGAGAAGGGATCCTTTGGTAGGCTTGTAGCCCAGTGATCAGGCAGAGGAACCCCAAGGGGCATGTTTTCATGCATTTTCAGACCAGCAGGGATCAACCAGTCTGCCCTCCTGCCTAACCCAGGCCAGAGAATGTCACCAAGTGACTGATTCCTGCATCAGGCCCACGAGTGCTGGCTGAGCCAGAGCAGATCTTTTAGAAAGAGACACCCAGCCTGGATTTAAACACCCCGCCCCATCCCTGAGTAAGATATTCCAGGGGTTAATTACCTTCACTGGTAAAATAATCAATACCTAGATACAAATTGCACCTCATATCTAATCTGAATTTGTCTAGCTTCAACTTCCAGCCATTGGATCGTTGTCTGCAAGATTCAGAAAGCTTCTCTCCCGTTACAGAGGAACAGCCGTGTTAGTCTGTATTCGCAAAAAGAAAAGGAGTACTTGTGGCACCTTAGAGACTAACCAATTTATTTGAGCATGAGCTTTCGTGAGCTACAGCTCACTTCATCAGATGTATACCGTGGAAACTGCAGCAGACTTTATATACACACAGAGAATATGAAACAATACCTCCTCCCACCCCACTGTCCTGCTGGTAATAGCTTATCTAAAGTGATCAACAGGTGGGCCATTTCCAGCACAAATCCAGGTTTTCTCACCCTCCACCCCCCCACACAAATTCACTCTCCTGCTGGTGATAGCCCATCCAAAGTGACAACTCTTTACATAATCAAGTCGGGCTATTTCCTGCATAGATCCAGGTTTTCTCACATCCCCCCCACCCCCATACACACACAAACTCACTCTCCTGCTGGTAATAGCTCATCTAAACTGACCACTCTCCAAGTTTAAATCCAAGTTAAACCAGAACATCTGGGGGGGGAGGGGGTAGGAAAAAACAAGAGGAAACAGGCTACCTTGCATAATGACTTAGCCACTCCCAGTCTCTATTTAAGCCTAAATTAATAGTATCCAATTTGCAAATGAATTCCAATTCAGCAGTTTCTCGCTGGAGTCTGGATTTGAAGTTTTTTTGTTTTAAGATAGCGACCATCATGTCTGTGATTGCGTGACCAGAGAGATTGAAGTGTTCTCCGACTGGTTTATGAATGTTATAATTCTTGACATCTGATTTGTGTCCATTTATTCTTTTACGTAGAGACTGTCCAGTTTGACCAATGTACATGGCAGAGGGGCATTGCTGGCACATGATGGCATATATCACATTGGTGGATGTGCAGGTGAACGAGCCTCTGATAGTGTGGCTGATGTTATTAGGCCCTGTGATGGTGTCCCCTGAATAGATATGTGGGCACAATTGGCAACGGGCTTTGTTGCAAGGATAAGTTCCTGGGTTAGTGGTTCTGTTGTGTGGTATGTGGTTGTTGGTGAGTATTTGCTTCAGGTTGCGGGGCTGTCTGTAGGCAAGGACTGGCCTGTCTCCCAAGACTTGTGAGAGTGTTGGGTGGGGGGGATGTGAGAAAACCTGGATCTATGCAGGAAATAGCCCGACTTGATTATGTAAAGAGTTGTCACTTTGGATAGGCTATCACCAGCAGGAGAGTGAATTTGTGTGGGGGGGTGGAGGGTGAGAAAACCTGGATTTGTGCTGGAAATGGCCCACCTGTTGATCACTTTAGATAAGCTATTACCAGCAGGACAGTGGGGTGGGAGGAGGTATTGTTTCATATTCTCTGTGTGTATATAAAGTCTGCTGCAGTTTCCACGGTATACATCTGATGAAGTGAGCTGTAGCTCACGAAAGCTCATGCTCAGATAAATTGGTTAGTCTCTAAGGTGCCACAAGTACTCCTTTTCTCTCCCGTTAGGTACTTACAGACAGTGATCAGGTCTCCTCTAAAGCTACCCCTTTGTTAAGCTAAATGGATTGAGCTTCTTTAGTCTCGCTGCAAAGGCAGGTGGGTTTTCCAGACCTCAGTCGTTCTTGTGGGGTTTTTTTTTTTTTTTGGTCCTGAATCTGTCAACATCCTTTTTGAACTGTGACCATCCTTCCAGCCAAGGATGGACAGAACCCCTTTCGGAGCCTGGGAATGCCAGAGGGGGTGGTGCTGATCCCTGAGAAACTTCTCTGTCATCGCTGGCCCAGGAACGGATGTTTGGGTCTCTGACATGGCAGGCGACAGCCAACCGTTGGTCCTTTCCGGCCCATTGTGGCTGATGGAGATGGTGAATGGCAGATTACTGGCTTCACTCCCTCCTGGGTTTTGGAGCAAGCATCTGTTTGCAGTCTCACAGATTGCTGCTCGTTTTGGAATGGACTAGGAAGCACCAGCTGGCCCAAGAAAATTCTGCAGGCCTCTCGTCTAACTCAGGTGTCTGGAGCCCATCAGAGCCCAGTTTCCTGCGGGACATATAGGAGTCCAAGGAATATGTTGGCTAGGGCAGCAACAAAGAACTGGGTTCTGTAATCAGACTCACATGTCCAGAGCGTGCCAGTGACTCGGAGGGTGTACCCTGGGGGTGCGTAGGGGCTTGGGTACTAGCTCCATGCTCCCAGGTACAGCCAGCCTCTCTGGTAGGCGAGCCTGATGACAAAGATCCCTCAGCACAGTGTTTGCATGCAGCCAGCCCCAACAAACCCCTCCGAAACAGGAGACCTCTGGAGCAGGCCCCTGCCCCCAACCCCCTCCATGAGCAGCTCTCGTTCTTCATTCTTTGTTCAACAGACTCTGCCTGCTTACAGGCAGGAGGGTTTCCCGTAAGAACAGGGCAAGTTTAGTCGAAACCAAAACCTTTCCTCGGAGATTTCAATGAAAATTTTGATGGGCCCAAAGTCGATAAAGTTGATACAAAATGTGTTTATCGTTTCAGTTCATTCCGTTTAGACTAAATTTGAATATGAATAATATGATTATATATATCATACAGCATCCTGTTTTGACATGATTGAAAATAAACCTTTTGATGGCCCTGAATTGACGTATTTTAGAATTTTTGTTCTCTGGCCAATTTCATCTCGTTCTTCCGATTCCAGATGAATAGTCCCTCCCCCCAAAATATTGAAATTTCCCAGGGAATGGAAATTTCCCTCTCTGGACACTCTAGGTCTGCTGACTGATGACTGTAGAGTATCCCTCCCCACAGGAGGGAGTGGGATGGCATCTCCCCAGAGCAAGAATGAGGTACACTAATAGATTGTGGGGGAACCCTAAAATGGTAGGCTCCCATTGGGGTGCGTGGGAAAGCCTCTCTCGTCTTCCATAAGCTTTGGATGAGGCCCTGAATGAACATGGAGAGACTGGTTTCCTGGAGAGCAAGGTTCGTCCAGATCAGGGGTAGGGTCTACACTAGGGAGACGTCTGTTTGACCGAGGCAATGCTCCCTGACTGCTCAGGGGTACAGAAGCGCCGAGGCTAGAAACCCAGGCTGCAGTATTCCGCTGTGACCCTGGAGCCTGATCTGCAGACAAACACTAACCCCCTGCACCTTCTCCCTCCAACCAGGACCATGTCAAATGTGTGAGAGTAGCCAGGGGCAGAAGGAACCGAACACTCACCTGTCTGAGGTCCACACCTCATGCAGGATCTCCGATTGGAGGGGCATGGCAAGCTGCTGGCAGGGCTCTGACTCACAGGGAAGCGAGGCTGGCCCAGACCTGGAGCACAGAGTCACCTTATTGGCAGGTGTGAGGCTGGAGCGCTCCCCTCTCCTCGCCCTGATGTTCTTCCTCTCCGGCACAGACTTGAAAACACCGCACACAGACAGGGGTGGGATTTTAAATGCAAGACATGACCAGCTACAGAGTTGACCCTGTCTGGCTGGGGAATCCCCACTCTGGCTTGCCCATTAATCTGCCCCAGCCTCACAACATTTGCTTATTTCGATGAAGTCGATTAGCCGGTCAAATTCATTTTCTCTGTTACCCACCAGCACTGCAGCGGCCCAGCCTTCAGCGCAGGCAGCTCTGCGTAGTGCTTCGGCGGCCGCGGAGAGCCACAGAGAGGATTAACTTTTTATTTCTCTTGAAACTCGGTAATAGGATTTTAGGGGCTCATGGCCAGGCAGCCAGGCCTCCGGGGAGGTTCTATAGAACGCAGCAGCTGTTACAGCAATTCATTCAAACAGGGGCCAAGAGAGCTTGATGGATCCCACGCTATACCGCTGTGCCTCTGGATGAGCGAGCGTAAAATGCACGTGTGCCGTGCACAGAGAGAGAGACACACACACACAGGGTGTGCGCGTACACCGTTCGTGGGTGCGAGTGCACAGCACACAGATCATTTCAATGGCACCTCTCTGTGCTGAACGAAAGCTGGAGCAGGGCATAGTGTGGCCCACGCCAGGCTGGGATGGAAAGAGAAGGGAGCTAAAGCCGGATACATGATCAGCTATAGAAGCAGGGCCATTCACAGGGGAGAAGTCCCTGTGGGTTTGTCTCCACTGCGATCCGAGGTGTGACTGCAGCATGCGTAGTACCAGACTAGCCTTCATCACAGCTAGCTGTACAAGCCTATGAGGGATCCCTGGATATGTGTTGGAGCAGCAACAGCAGGGGAGGGAAAGCACCACAGGCTGGCTGCGTAGATTTTAAGGCCAGAGGGCCCATTCTGAACATGTCTGAGCTCCTGCATCGGGCTCATCATTTCCCGGAGTTACTGCGGTGCGACAGAGAGTCCGGTCTGCTTCCCCGTTGACTCACGCCGTATAAACTACTGTCAATCAATGGCGTTCCACCAGTACGAAACCCGCGCGAGAGGCAAACCAGGCCTAGGATGTCTTCGGGTCAGTTACGCCTCGCCCTCTCTGGCATCACAGAACCCCCCCCCACCCATTTCCATATGCCCACACTGCAAGCGGAGGTGTGCCCGCAGCACACGCAGACATATCCAAGCTGGCTTCCATCTAGCGTGGCGACCTGCAGACAAAGCCCTCAGCACCGCTGGGTCGTCAGCACTAATGATTTCACCCACGTGGCCCCTCCCTCCCCTCATTTTGGTGGCCTGATGCCAATCGACATGGGCAGGTTCATCTTAAACACAAGCAGGCAGCAGGGGATTGGGCAAGCTATTCTGGGCACTCCAGACCCACATCGCTCAGCCTCGGAGACAAGGGATTTCAATCCTGATCTGCTTAGGAGAAACAATCTGACTGAGCTGGGCTCCTGATGTAACCGCCCTGCCAGCCTAGAATTGCTGTGGAAGACAATATTCTGGGGCCTGATCCTGCACTGCCTTACCCCAGTGCTTAGGGGAGTCGAGTCTGACTGGTGTGCAAAACTTGCACGAGATATAGCATCGGGGCTACATCAAACTGAATCTTCAGCTGCTTTCCAGCGTCAAACCCCGCGGGCCAGGGGCTCGGTTCTGTGTAGCTAATCCCTTTACCTAACTATGCCACGCTCAGCACTTCGCATATTCAGGCCCCGCTTTCCGCTAGCAGAAGCCGAGCTTGCAAGACCTGGTAGCAATGAGTCTGCCCGCACAGGGGTTCCAGCCACCAGGGCTGGATTAACCCACAGGCTAATAAGGCTACAGCCTTAGACCCTCCTATTTTTAGGTCCTACTGGTCAGGCAAGGGCTGGGGCCATGGCCAGGTCCAGGTGAGGGAGAGAGAGCTTGTTCCTGCAGCTCTGCGGGAACGCTTCTGCCAGCAGGGAAGGCAAAGCAGCCCCCTGTGGCTAGGAAGGAGCTCAGCCAGCCAGCAGCCTGCTGTGTCTGCGAGAACACACTGCCAGGGATCCGGTTCACACTGGTGACTGGACACTAAAAATCTGGTTACCATGGGGACCCGTGCCAGCCGCAGGCGTCGTTTGAGCAGGCATTGCTCCCCCCAACTCCCCCCATCCCCGATTTCTCCGGAGCACTGCTTGGCTGTCAGGGAGGGAAGAGGCTCCCTCTGTCCCTCTCTTGGGTTGAGGCTGGCAGGCAGCTCCAGGACGCTGCGGCCGGGGTCCTACTGCCCGTCACCGTGTTCTTCCATGTGTGCTGGGTCCCGTTTCTGGACAACTGGTGAGTGCCGGGGTGGGGGCAGGGCAAGGGGGTGGCGGAAGGAAGAGGCAGTTCCAGAGAGGCAGAGTGTGGAAGCTTGCACAGAACCTGGACACACGCTATCCAGCTCCTGTCAGGACTACTGCCCCTCCCACGTAGAAGGAACGAATTCCCACACATTTGTAGGAAAACCAAACCAAACCATCCCATTCTGGATACCAGTCCTTTAACTTTTACAGAACCTTCCAGCGAGGGGCTTCAGAGTTACGATGCACTGTATGCAATACTGTATAGAACTGTACTAAAAATCAAAGACATCCAGCCTTTTTCTTTGATGTATTTTTCTGTACTGGGATGCACAGGTCACCAAGTTCTTTCCTTACGCTCAGCCTAGCTCCACAGGCCAACGCATCTTTGTACTTTTAAGAGGTTGCAAAAGCATTGGAGGAAGCTCAACACACAATGTTGTAGGTTTCTCCCTCCCCGCTCCCTCAAGGATTTTAAATCCACTTCTTAGCAGGCTATGATAGAAAGACTGGCTGAATAGGCTAGAGGCTGGTTCTCTAGCAGTTCAATCCATCATAAAAGTACCTCACATTTGATTTCTTTGGCGTTTCATTCCAAAATCTTAAAGCTAAATAAACCTGAAGTTAGTCCTATTTTTCTGCCCCAACTCAAACTAGCTTCTTCCCCAAGTGGAAAACGTTGGGTAAGCATGGGATGTGATTTGAGAAGGGAAGGAGAACACAGGCCAACTCCTGCTCACAGTTACCTGTGTAGCCTTATTGACTTGAGGGAGAACAGATTTTTGCACAAGAATAGATTTTAGTCCCTTCTGCTTTTTCACACCTGGTAAAAGCAGAATCTCATTCACTTTCCTCCCCTAAACTCTGAGCACTTTAAGGGAAAAAAAAATAAGCAAGGTCTGCTTGATTTACACGTGCAAACGAAACAGGAAGCTCTCCCTTCATTCTACACCAGCCTTAAACAAACACCAGACCTGATGTAACAAGGGTGTCACCACAGCAGCCTTGGCTGGACTGTTCTTTTGAAAGATCCTTAATGGTTCTTTTAAGATGCTGATTTTTAGTGAAGTCTTTTTGTTCAGGGGGGCAGAGAACACAACAGGGAATAGTCTGTTTTGTCAACTCCTCGTCATTCAAAAGCTGAAAGGCTTTAGATTAAGTTTGTTTAATGTTTGTACAGTGATTCTGAAGAACTAACATAGCACAGAAGTGCTAAATATTATGACTGGGCAGCCATCTGAAGATCTGTGTCACTTCTATCTGTTACCTTTTTCTTACAGAAAGCTTAAAACAAACAAAGGCAAACTGCAGGGGGCTGGTGCACACGGAACTCGTGCTTAAAAAACCGCATGTCAGAGCTGCTGATTGCACATCTAGAATAGATGATACTTAGCCCTGCCACGAGTGCAGGGGACCGGACCAAATGACCTCTCGAGGTCCCTTCCAGTCCTACGATTCTATTCTATGATTCTCACTGTGGCAGAGCTTGGTGACAGAATGGCCTGATGTGGTGAATCACTGCAGTTTAACGACACAAACTGGGTATCATCCCACAAATACTATTTGGGTTCACCGTGAAAACAGTAATTCATTGTCCTCAGCCAGTGCAACATGGGGAGGCAGCTTTCAGAGCAAGACAGCCTAAAATACAACACCACCCAATGTAATTTCCCCACTACTACTTCCTCTACTTCAGTGGATTTTACACCTGAGTGGTTTTCTTTTACATAATAAAAGCTGGCTGCCTCCCAGAGTGAGACAGGGTCTGTGGTGTAGAGTCCATAGCTCAGGAGGAAACACCTGCAGGGCTTGGCTTTGCACTCTGCCATGTGGAGAGCTGCGGGTAGAAGCACAAGGCTGAAAGAGGTGAGCAGGATGGAGCATGTTGCAGTGTTCATCCTCATACAGACGAGCACTCTACTACATAGGAGGAAGGAACCCCAGGAGGACAGCGTAGCATCCCCCGTGCTACCTCTTACTCAGAAGTATCTGGAGAGAAATGTTTGACGACTTCCCTCCCATTAGCCTTAGGCCCCTCATAACCTTAATCCGGCCCTGCCAGCCACACCCTGGGGCTCAGAGCCAGCCGGAGAAGCCCAGAAACGGGGTGGGTGCCGGGCACGGAGGGCATGTAGCCAGAGCACCCATACAACGAGCTGAATCGGGGCTCTTTCCAGGCCTGGAACCTCTGGGAGGAGGCAGTACCTGTGCCTGTCCTCCGTCAGCGTGAACACAGATGACAGGACAGTCAACAGGATTCCATCCCTCTCTACCCAGGGGGGTGAATGGATCCCAGGAAATGATACAACCATTCAGTGCTCTGATCGAAGACAGAACTTTCTCCCCTCTTTTCTGTGTAACAGCATCACCAGGAACCCTGAAGAACAGACAGGCTAGTTGCTAGCAGCTGGCTGTACTATCTAATCCATCTATGTATTTACAGGGGTGCAACTCCATAGCATCTGGCATTCCCTTTGAAGTTACTTCGTTTGCATATTATGCAAGCAATCACATCTCTGCCTGACTGAGCAGGGTCATTGGGTCTTTTTTACCTGTTGAGGTGACAGAGGTTTTGGTTTTTAAATCTGATGCGACTCAGCTGTCAGGGCAGATCAATGGTATTGTTGACTTTCCCATTGTCACGCGACTGTCACGGTTGAGTCCCAAAGCCAGCACAATGTGAGTGAGAGATGGTATAAAAACTTACGGAGAAATGGGATGGAAACAGACTGAAAGACGAAATCTATAGCATGTGCAGCCTTCAGTAGGTTTGTAATGGAAAGTCAGGCCCTGATCCTGTCCCCTGCGCCTGCGCAGAGCTCCAGCGAAATCAACAGGGCTCTAGCCTCGTGCATCCGATTTGGGAGTCAGGGTAGCGTTTCTTGTGACCACTTGAGGGTCTGCACAATGCAACAGAAACCTACTCAAAACAAAAAACATTTATCAAGAAATGCTATGGGGAAAGCTCCAAAATTCCCTAGGTTAGCCCGAAGGGATGCAAGATATCATGTCATTGCACTTAATTTCTTGTATTCGGCTTCATTGTCAGCACCGATGAGCTATTTTTCATTCAGCAGGCCGTGCATCGTCTCTCAGGGCTGTCTGCTGACGTCAAGAGTTGGGCGCCCTAGAGTTTTCTGACTGTGAATATGAAGACCAAGGCCTTGTTTACAGGTGGTAGGAGTCAAAATGTCTGTCCACTGGAGATAAACTCTTCCCCTATTATAGCAAGGACCAGAGTAAGGAAATCGCAGCCACTGATTCAAGCCTAACGTATCCTGAGCCGTTCCACTGTTAAATCATGTTGGTTTCATTCATTTAAATGTGTTAGAATAGGAAACTTTCATACCATTTCCACTACTAAACCATGAACGACTCCCTGAGTCATTTCTCAGCTCAACTCCTGCAGTGGCTTCACCCCCAGATTTTGGTTTCTTTTCTCCATTTTATCTTCCAGAATCCTGTAGCCTGGAGGACAATTTGGGACTTAGCCACTGTTTTTCCCCATCTGTTTAGCCAAAGAGGCAAGTTTCTGGCCCCATTCCTATTTCTCAAGGCGACAGAAGCATTGTCACCGAACTGGAGCTGTAGGAATGGGATCAGCTACTCCCTTGGTTCAGCCATATTTCAGTGGAGTTACTTCTGATCTACCTTGGTGTAAGTCAGAGTTGAATGGTGCCCTGTGTGCTAATCACCGAAGTCCGAATCCGTGCATGTTGGGGCAGAATGTGAACAGTTCAACAGAACAAAACAATCTTGGAGGAAGAATATTCCTGTTGGGAGGGGAA